TCTTGTCTATATTTTATACTGGCCCTTATAGATGACGGTATCATGGTAGTCAGGCAACTGACGCTTACCACAATGACCCCTGTGAATTGGTCCAACAGGCATGTACTGCCGTCACCTGGTATTGAACTCGCAACCTCCTTACAGAGGTACTAGTCCTTATACCAGTACGCTAAGTTCCCATAGAAACAAAAAAAAAATTTTTTTTCTAATATTTTTAATATTTTTTAAAATTTAATATTGACTTTTAAATTACAGTAATTATATTTTTAAAAATTATAAATATATTAACAACAGATAAAATACATAGTAATACTAATTTTATTAATCAAAAGATAATTTATTTGATATAATACTACTTGCAAATTATTTGAAAAAAAGTATATAATTTTGTTAAATTAATCAAATTTATATAGTATAAACTTTAATTATAAATTAATATATAAATTTTATTTTGTCAAAAGTTTAATGTTTTATTTAATAAAATCAATAATTTTATAATTTTATTAATTTTTCACCTATTTTTTATTGAATTTTTTTATAATATATATTTATTTTTTGAATTTATTCTATATTTAATAATTAAACTTTTGATATACTGTATACATCATATACATTATTGAATTTTTGTTATTTATATATTTTTGTCAAAATTTATATATTATATTTGTAATTTAAAAAAAATCAATTTGAATTTAAATTAATATTTTTATTATAATTTATAAATTGAATTAAAATATAATAGAATTAAAAATTTTATTTTTAATTTAATAGCTTTTATATTAATTGGATTTATTTTAAATAACTATTGAATTATTAACAATATTTTTAATAAATAGTTTTTTAAAAAATTTATGGTTTTATAAAAAGCTTTTATAATATTTTATATTAAAAAAAGTTATAAACAAGATATTGTTTATAATTAATAAAGAAATATTTTATTAAATATACAATAAAAAAAATTAAACAACTTTATTCTTTTTTTAAAAAAAAATCCTTCTTATATAAATATTTTCACAATATAAATAAATAAAATAAAAATATATTCTATAGATCTATAATACAATAATTAATATACTATTAATTCAACTTCATATAAAAACAATTAAATAAAATTAATATTATATTTATATTATATTATTATATGCCAATCCAATCTCAAAGATCAATACAGGATGAAAAACTAATAAATAGCAATGAAATATTTTATTTAGAACATAATTCTAATGTGGTATACTATAGTTCATAGAAAAAGTATACTTGAGATCTCAAAGATTATAAGACAAAAAGTATAACAATAATAATTACATAAAGACAAATATACTGTATAATTGTGATAATTTATAAAGAACAGTTTATTAAATTATTAAAATAGAACTTTAACTCTTTTACAATTTCAAAAATATAAGATTTTTATAAATAATAAATATATGCTATAGTAAAAATATAAACTAAGATATAGATACTATTTTTGTTAGAATATTCAAATGTATTAACATTTACATAGATAAATATTTTGATAAAAATAATATAAAAAGTAAAGGTCAAATAACCTAAAGTATGTTTTGATATATTTATAATATTATATCAAGTAAAAAATACTGTTGACATAAATATTTTTATTAAATATTTTATTATTAATAGCTTTTTAATTAATTAATTATTTTTATATTAATTATTTTAACCTTTAAAACATATTTATTCATTATTTTTTAATTATTATTATTATTTTTTTAATTATTATTATTATTTTTTTAATTATTATTATTATTTTTTTTTTGATATTATTAATATTTCTTAGAATGTAATTTTGATCTTTTAAACCAATTATATTTTTAAAAATTACAAATATACAGTATTAACAGCAAATAAAAGGTGTTACAAATTTGGTTTTATTTCTTTGATTATTTTAATTTACCATAAACATATTCTTATATATTTAAATTCAAATACATTTGTTTATTAGAAAATGTTCATAGGTTATGTAATGTAAAAGAATAATAAAAAAAAATTCTTATATAGCTTATAATTATTATTTATTATTATTCAATTAAAGTATAAAATAAAAGTACTTTTTTATTTAACCACTTATTATATTTTCTAATAGTTTTTTTTATTTTTTTCAACATTATTATCATTAGCAATTGTGATACAGTATAATAACAGATTCAATAATTTTATTCCAACAATAATAATAATTATAAATATAAAGCTATTTACAGTAACAATTCGATATGTAATTATTATTTATTATCATTTGCCTTTCACTTAATTATCTCAATTATTTATTTATTTATACCCATATACTGTATATGTAATAATAATAACATGTTATATAGCATTTATACAACTTACAAATGTTTATCTTAAGAAATAGCATTTATTTTATAAGTTTTCCTTTTTTTTAATAATAAAACAAATAAAACCTTTACGTTAGAACATTTTTTTTTTTCCTAAATGAATTTAACAATATTTATAATTAAAAAATGATACTGTATATACAAAAATACAAAAATTATTTTCTCAAGACAATTTATCACACAACATCGTTAGAAAGAGGATACCGAATACATTCATTGTATATAAAAATTTCGCGAGATTTTTATTTTTCATATTTTTTAAACAGTTATTCTATTTTCGCTTAATTCACTTGTTGAACTACTTAAAGTTAATTCTTAACGGTTTTGTCTTTTCTACACACGACCCTCATAAATTTCATTCTTGTGTCATATTCCGACATTTCCTGCTCGAAACACTCCTCCAGCATTTCCAAAAACACCTCTTTGGAAGTCCCCATACACATTGATAAATTTTCAGCATCTAAAGTATAATACATTTTAATGACTTCCTTAAGTAAAATTCCAAGCTCTACTTCATATTTGCTTTTTACATTGGATTTTTTTATTGGGAAATCATTATCGATATTTTCGCATCCCGTGTCATAATTATCATCGCATTTCCCTGGATAGTCATTATTAATTTCAAGTTCATCTACTATTTTACCATTCCATTTTCCTAAGAAGGGATACGCGACGATTTCTTCAATATCTTTGAGACACTCGTGTGGTGTTAACCATTGTTTAAATAGATTTGGTAATCTCGGGTTTATGCTGGCACTGTGGCATAATTTTTGTAAACTTTTGCTAATGCGTTCGATTAATGGACCGCCATTTAATTGAATAATGTCAACCTCGTAAAATTCTAGCCATCCATTAGGTTTGAGAACGCGGATTAGTTCGGGTATCTAAGTTAAAATGAGCGTGAAAAGGGGAAAATAAATAAATAAATAAATATAAAAAAAATAATGGAGAAAACTAGAATAAGAATTTGATATATTACCACAATATTCTGCCATTGGTCATCGGTAAAAGAGGCATTCAGGAATGAGAGATGCACGTAATCGAACTCATTTGAGGGGAAAGGCAATCCGTCCAGCACGTTGGCCTTAATAAAGTTAGAGTTGAACGGTTTTATTTGGGATGGGAACACAGGTGACATATCCACTCCAAAGAATTCCGAATTCTCATATTTAGAAGATAATTCCAATACCCATATTCCCGTGCCGCATCTTTATTAACAGGGAATCCCCAAGTTAGTATTTTAATTTCAGCCAAGTTCACGAACCGCGTACTAATACATACCCAACATCCAACACTCTGGATCCTTCTATTAGCATATTTTCTACGGGAGCTGACATATTACACTTGAAAATGTGTTTAAAACAATAATGTTGTAGTTGCTGCCTGTCGATTTCCTCTATATCCGAGGATAGTAAGTAGGAAGCAGTTTCCTCATTATGATATCGCCTGCCGTTAATGTATCGAAAATCTTGAGGTTTCTTTTTTATAGAGGATTTACTATTCCCCATTGTGTTTTCTGTGTTTGGATGAGAGTGAAAAGTCGAAAAAAAGTTTTTAATGGATCTGACAAGATTCGTGACTTTTGGTGGCGATGAAAAAGAAGGTTTTTTCTTCATTACGTTTAATTTGAACGTGCTATAACAAACAAATGTTAACCTAGGATAAACGAGAGTGAGTGAAAGGATCGCCAAATTTCTGACCCTTTGCGAAAAAAAGCCAATGGTTTGTTGATTATTTGTATTTAGAAAATAAGTTCCATCTAGAAGACGGGAATTTTGCGGTCCAGTAATTAAGCGGACTATTACTTAAATAGAATTTGAAGGGCCTGGGGAGTTTAATAGAAAATCGTATATTGATGTAAAGTTCATTTGTCTTGCATTAGGAACTAACACAAGGCGCAATGGACCGGGAACAACAACAAGGTACAAAGCGCCACCAACCAATCGACTTTAATGCTTACCGTATATACTGTAACGAAGTAGTTGTATACTGTATTCTTCTGTCCCTCCTACCACGTGTTATGTTCTTAATTCGGTTTTATACTAGCGTGATATGTAAAATTTTGGGAAATTGCTGGTTTGCAAACAGAAATCAAACAATATGAAAATTCGAAAATTGAGTGTGTTTTGTAAATTTCCAAGGAGAAAATAACCCAAACTTTAGAATCATATTTATAGTAGTGACACACGAACATCTGTTTGCTTCGAGCATATTACACTGTTGAAGGTTACATACAGTGGTAAAGATCGGCAAAATAATTATTGCCGAACGACACCAGTTTGGGCAATGATTCTATAAACGCGAATTCCGAGCTAAATCCGTGCTTTCGATGTAACATATGAAGACCAATGATCACACATTTTCACGGAACATTGTACTTTTTTTAATAAATGATTAAAAAAAACTGCTGATTCGATCGACCAATCAGGGAACCAAATATTCTATGGCACGGTGCAAACTTTATTAGCCACGTAGGACGATTTTTTTTTTGAAAAGATTTTGCATCCAATGAATGTATCCTATTCTCACCCATCGTATTCATCTTGATTTTTTTCGATGAACAAAAATGCATGTACGTGCGAATTTAATGAAGAGAACCGTGCGATTCAGAATAAACTGCCTATTGCAAGCAAACAAGAAAGTAAAGGCTTTCTGTGAAACGAAATTGATGTGCAGTAATTGGGAAAATCGCCCAAAAAAACTCACAAGTCGATCACAGGAGCAGTGTTTCATTGTCTCTTTCTTATCGCTCCTCTTGGATGAATATTGATTAATTGATTCGCGTTGGAAATCTCGAAAGTAGCTAATGAGCAAATCGATAAGGGTAGATTGAACTTGTATGCGTCAGGCATCCAGTATGTACAGTTGCATTTAAATTAAATTTCCGCAATACTGTCGGGCTACATACGACGGATAATCATGTGAGAAATTAACAATGTATATTTTTTTCATTAATGTTTTTTCATTAATGTTTTTTCGTTAAATAAATAAGAATTTTTTCTTTGATTTTTTTTTTCACCCAGTAAACTTATCCTTTACACTCTTAGACAGGTATACGCATAATTCTGTATATATACCGATTATTATTAAAATATTACGAAAATAAAAATCACATATTTTGTGGGGATTTATTATTTTAATTCAAATTTTATTTTCGTTTCTGCTTGTTTCCATTTCGTGATATCAATACTGTATATAACAAACAAAAGAAATCGCGTGCCAAACTCACCGTATATATTTATACGTGGTCTTGTGAATTAAGTTAAACCTGATGGTGTTAATCTATTCATAAAAAGTAAATCTCTTGGAGAAAAAAAAGTTCATACTCGTACACATTTTTGTAATAGCAATGTCCGTGCGTCTCCTGGAGACTTGTGAGATGGCGCATTTAGGTCACACGAATTTTAATATTACCCCATTAGGCATTCCGGGGAAACGTAGTAAGAGGTAATGGTAAGGAAATGAGCGACAACGAATAGTCATGAAGCGTGTGCTGTGTGGATGATGACTAAATGTTTTTTTTTTTTTTTTTTTTGGGACGGTTAATATTTGTACCGGTTACATCGTCTGGTTTCATAAGACGTTCTGACCAACTTTGCACGGACTATTTACTCCTCTTGATCGCACGGTTTTCGTTCATTAACTCCGCATGTACATGCTTCTTTGTTTGTGACGCTCGAAATGAAAAAACCAGGCAATTGATAACATCCTATGCTATTTTGAATGCACTGGTTTCAATCTTCTGATGGATCCTTGTATGGTGTGGTTCGGTCATTGGGTGAAACCATCCCATGACGGCAAAAACTTTTTCCACATGAAACTCATTTTTTTTTTGGTATGGTGGCTTTATCCAAATCCAGTGAGTTCCGTAACTCTCGAAGAGTGGTTGGTGTGTTAGGCGATTTGCTAAGCAAATTAGCCCCGATCTTGAGCTTTTCCTCTGCATTTTCCGAATCTCGCTCATAAATACCCATCCCCATGTATATGGACTCTTGCAGATAGTACAAAAACCTAATTTGTAAAAGGTCTTTAATGTGCACGGTGAATATTGTCCAGTTTAATTAAAAGTTGATCCTTTTTAATCATTCGTCAAACAATCTCTAATGTGATCTCATTATGAGTGCGATCTAGAACGTAAACTTGCACCTACTAAACCTGACTGGTTGTTCATAAACCCGATTCCAAAACTGCTTGACTAACTTTTGGTTTTCGATTTTGTTCACTTCAATTTCGACGGTTCAAGCTTCCATCAGATCTTTATATCATATACAATGCGAAGGTTTTATTTGCTAACAAGTTTACGAACAGGCAAGTTCAAAAAGTTCCTTGACTCTATGAATTTCTTCGTACCTGGCGATGAATGCATAATGTTTAGGGAAAATCAATTTAATGATTTCACCCTGGTTTCTAACATTACACCCGACTGTTGATCCATTCTAATCCAAAATTAAACTATTTAAATAGCAACCGGTTTATTGAATTCGACTATATAAAGTTACGCTCATCCGCGTATTTTTCAGAATTTTAATTCACAGAAAAAATTATAAAATCATCGTTCCTTCACAGAGGTTAGAAAATTTTCCGTTATCTCTTCTCTTGACCAACCACTCATTCCCAAGATCATTCGATCTTAAAAAAATTCCCATAAAAATAATGAAGGGAAAACTATTACCACTTCGAAGAAAGTTTTTTTCCCTCAGATCATTCAAAGAATTTTTTCTGTCACTTTTCTCTCCTTCGCAGAACACAATGGGCAACAGCAAGTCATCTGGATCAAAAGGGAAGTCTTCGAGTGTCCAAGATTTTCGATATGTAAACGGCAGACGGTATCACTGTGAATTAGATACCTCCTATATATTATCTTCGGATATAGAGGAAATTGATCGACAGCAATTGCAACATTATTGCTGTAAGCATATTTTCAAGTGTAATGTGTCGGCTCCCGTGGAACGGATGCTGATCGAAGGGTCTAAAGTGCTGGATGTTGGGTATGTAGCGGCTCACAGCTCGTGAATTTGGTTGACTCTGACAAAAATTAAAATCTCTCGTTAATTAAGATGTGGAACTGGCATATGGGTACTGGAATTATCCACCGAATATATAAAGTCGGAATTCACTGGGGTAGATATGTCGCCTGTGTTCCCAACACAAATCAAACCTTTAAATTCTACCTTTTGCAAAGCCAACGTGTTACACGGCCTACCATTTCCGTCAGATGAATTTGATTATGTTCACCTTTCGTTCATGAACGGTTGTTTTACCGACGATCAATGGCAAAATATTGTGGTATGGGAACATTGACTTATTTCCTTTATGTTTGTTTATTGGTTTTTTCTATTATCCTTATTTCTTACCGCGCACTTTTCATTTGAAATTAGATCCCCGAGTTAATCCGTGTACTCAAACCTGGTGGGTGGTTAGAGCTCTATGATGTTGACGTCTTTACTTATAATGGCGGCCCGTTAATCAACCGCCTTACCGCAAGCGTACAACAACGAATATCTAGTGTTGGCCTAAATTCAAGAGCACCCAATCTATATAAACCATGGGTATCATCTCATTCGTGTTTCAGTGACGTTGAGGAAATCGCGTTTTATCCTTATATAGGAGAGTGGAAGGACAATGTGGTGGATGGAGAAGATGGTAACATGGAGTTAAATGGAAAGGAGAATATAAAGAGCAGATATGATGTGGGACTTGGAATACTACTCAAAGAGATGTTTAAAATATTTTATATCTCGGAATCGGAAAACCTGTCACAATTCGCGGGGATCTCAAAAGAGGAATATTTGGAAATGGTGGAAGAATGTTTTGAGCAGGAAATGCTGGAATATGACTCGAGGGTGAAATTCATGAGAGTGATAGGTAGGAAAGACGTGGTGGAGATATGACGAAAAAATTCATAGGACTCGACTCTCTCTACCTTGGCATATTCCAAAATTATTGCAATGCCTATTGAAAGTTTCTTCAATAGGTTATTTATTTATTCAATAGACAATTTATTCTTAATAGAAATTAGGCAAAGAACATATTTATTTTCATAAGAAAATGTATAGTTTTATTCCAAAATGAAAAAACAAATGCATGCATACATGTCTTTTGTTACACTGTATATTAGGCGACATCAGAACTGCAAAAAAAAAAAAAAAAAAAAAAAAACTTTCCCCAAGTAAATTTGTCACGCTCGACGAAAATTTCATTTCAGAATTTGTGCACTACGTGGGGTGAATTCCTTATTTACAGTGTGTTAAAAATAGCTACATCAATGGTACCTATGAATTCTAATTAAACAAACAAACATACTGTACAATACGTACAGCGCATATTAATAAAATACATTCATTCTAATTACACTAAAAATATGTTGTATATTGTTTTAAAGTAAAACGTGCCGTATATGTGATTTACTTATTTTCTTGCCGAGAACAAGTTATTAAAATTAGGATTTTAGTATCAGAATATTAAAGCTTAAAATTTAATTGATCGGCGATTTTCGTGAGACATTCCAGGATGAGAGAAATCAGTCTTCTCATAATGAATACGTATAGTGCCATCATACTGTTGGACGAGAAAGTCTTAGTACAATTGATATTGTTGTTCTCGTATATTAGTTCATTTCCATACACGTTTAATATGAGAAAATTGCTATACCTTAAATTTGTAGGTATTTGCAATCTTTATCATTTATAATTTAAGATTGCGTACAATCTATTTTATCACGAGTAGACATTATCCTTTAGAATCTCAAAGGGACTTGAATAGATAGCATGTTTGATGGGCATTACGAAAAGGGAAAGGTCCACTTAGCGGATGTCAGGAAACAGGGTCCTATGGTCGACTAATGGATGCCTATTGAACTTGACGCTCAGGGTTTCTCTTTACTTCATGATATAAGATGCCTAGTTTAGACCTATGTAGAGTTGATAATGTGGACCAAAATTTAGGTGAAATTGATAACGCTATCAAGAAGCTCGAGAGCATGGACCTAAATACGCGAAGCACCAATTGAACTTGGGGCATCGATTAACCTCTTGCAAACAGAAAACCTTTCTTCTTTAATAAGGATGTCGATCTCTTTGTCTAATCCGACGAGAGGAGACAAGCGATATTCACGGCACTCAGATTTGACCTACTATTATCTCAACTATACCCAGGAGCAAGCGCTACAACTAACAAAACTAACCCTGGAGATTATTTGATCAGAAAAATAAAATGGATGTTTATGAAATCACTGCATTTGACATCTATACCTAATAAAAAAAATTTTTCGAAAATTATTAGTCAGGCTATAACAACATTACAACATTCTGACTACTTGATTACGTGAGATTAGTAATCAAGAAGTTCAACTCTATGGACTATTTACAATCAGTCCGTTTTTGGATGCTCTGGTGCGGATAGACATTAAGAGTGTTATCCGTGAAAAACTATAAGGGGCTAAAGACGATTCTTTGTTGAATTATCATGTTCACTGTATCTATCAACTATCACCATACATTACAAGTGATGGCAAGTTGTGCGTCGAACTTTTTTAAAGCAGCCATTGGAACTGTGTATTTAGTTAACGCTAGATACAAAGATTTTGTGAGGGACTTGAAGGATTAACGATTCCAAGAAATAAAGAAAGAATCAAAAGTATCCTTCAGGGAATGGGGTTTTGATGACCAGATAGCGATATTCAACCCTGAGATTTACAGATATATTCATTCACGAGCATTTGTTCGTCAGAATCATAAGAAAGTATGGTTCTTAATAGGCTTGTGTCAACGTTTAGGATAGTTTGCCGGTATTTAAAGTATAGCGAGGGGGGTGAAAATAAAATCTAATGGTGTCAAAATACAGGAGCTAAAAGAATGAGAACCAAGACAAAGGTTTGAAAACTATGCTATAAATCGATGCCTTCAATAAAAAAAAAATATTTTTTTTTAATAATTAGAAATAAAAATATTTTAACTAATGTTTTAAACTTAAAACTAGTTTTAAATTTTATTACATATGCTAAAAAAAAAACAGAAACGACATTTTTCACTTTTAAAATTCTTATTCAAAACAAATATTTCAAATTTATAATATTCTATTTCTTGCTTGCTTTTAAAAATAAAATATCGGGAGAAAATTATTTATATATATATATATATAATAATAATAAATATATAAATTAAAAGGTTTTTAAAAAATCAATGTGAGAACGTTATAGCATAACTACAGTAATTCTCGTGTTTTATTATTACATTCTTTTATATTTTTTTGATACTACGATTTAAATTTTTCATAAAGAAATAACCATTGTTATTCTACAAAATTGAAAATAAAATGATTCTAAAAATATGCTTATTTAAGTTAAAATATTTTGAAATATTTGACAAATATAATTTTAAACAATTTTATTAATGTATGAAGCATGAATATTTATTTTTTATTAAAAATACTTTATTTCGCATAAATTTTGAATTAACACGTGACTTTATATTATATATAAAAATAAATTATTGGTTTTATTTGTTCTTCTTTTAATTTTTTTTTTATTAATCAATTCTTATAATAAAGTAAAATTATAAATATTGAAAAATAATCTTTTAACAAAAATTATTTCTTGTTATATACTATGTACATATATAAATTTGTTAAATAAAGAATTGAAGACAGTGTTTTTATAATAACTCTGTTTTTTATAAATATTAATTTATTGTTAGAAAAAAAATTGGTTGAAATAATATTTTATAAGAATTTTAATTTTTTAATTTATTTTAATTAATTTATTTTATTTTTTAAAAAAAATTTTTTTTTTTTAAATAAGTATTAAATATAAGACTTTTATTAAATAAGAATTTATAGTCATTATGTTAAAAATTTTTATATAAGATAAAAGTTAATTCTAGCTTATAGTTTTTAAATGAATTTATAAGTTATTAATTGATTTAATAACATATCAAAAAAATCAATATAGTAATTGATAAACTTAATCTATTGTTTTTTTTTAAGTAAATAAATATTATATCTTTATTTATTTGTATATTATAAAATATATATTTAAAAAGAAACAACATCTCTCATATACAAATTGTAGTAAATTAAATGTTAGCTTGCTTATAATAATTATTTAACTTTTACTAAAAAAAAATTTAAAAATAAACTTAATTCATTATATAATATTAATAAAGTATATATAATTAATAAGTTAAAAATATTATATATTTTTAAAAATATCTGTAGGATTGATAATGTATTTGTTAAATCATGTGGTAAAAGGTTTTTATAGAGTTTTTTAATAATTTATTTAAGTATTATATTTTTGTTATTAATTTTAAAATTTATAAGTATAATATATTTACTATATAAAATCTTTATTTAATAATTAATATATTT